GGGCAGTGTAGAGTAGCACTTGTTGTTTGTCATTTCTCTGATCACAAATGCAGACAGGGGTTTATGTTTACGTGGCGCGATCCAATGCAACGCAACGCGTAAAAAGACAGTATAAGTCATTATAATCAGTAATTATGTCCCCACTGGATGCAACAAATGCCTCGTTTGTAATGGGTTTTAATGTGTTTGTCTCGTCGCTCCGGCCGGGACACGGCATCAACAGTATGTGAGGGGCGTAACATTTCCGTCTCACGCTTGAGGTATTCGGCCAATCACAACTCACTGGATAGCTGGCCAATCACAGCACACCTCGCTTTTTCAGACCGATGAGCTTTGTAAAAATCGACGCGTTTCAAAAAGGCGGGGCATAGAGGGGAAACAGTAACTTACAGGATGTGGAAAATAATGTGTTTTTTAACTTTAAACCGCATAAACACATTTCATTACACCAAATACACAAAATAATGTTCTTTTTAGCAGCATCATATGACCCCTTTAAGGAAATGAGGTTATCTGCATTCTTTTCTCTGAAACCACAGTGAAAACGAGTGGTGCAGACCTAGATTGCATGCCACTCACAGCCTTTGCATTACCCTCCTACTCAACATATGCTGAAATGCCAAGTTAAAACAAAGATCTTGGTTCTATATATAACATTTTAAATTAATCTTCTCTTTATCAGCCAAATTCAAACCATGAAGCATAAAAGCTGATGAGCTGAAAAGCTGATGTCATAGTCATGTTAAAGATAAACAGTGTGAACTGGATTGTGTTTTGAAACATAGTAAATGAGTTAATATGCAAACCTCCTGGTCCAATAGGATGCATTAATCTGTTCATCTGAACGTTCCAGTGTTTAACATTGGTGCTGGCCTGACGCAGCTTCCTTTGAGCAGCCTGTCAGAATACAACAATACCGATTTAATCAGTTCTCAATCAATCAATCAATCAATCAATCAATCTGTAAACTAGTTTAGTTGATTTGACTGTTGTTTTAATTTTTTTTTTTAACAAATCTCTTATGCTCACTAAAATACGTTAAAAAAAATTAATAGTGTGAAATATTACAATTTACTCATGAATTTATTCTTATTATTTATGGCAAAGCTGAATTTTAAAATTCTAATATTTGGTGCCCAAGAAACATTTCTTATTAGAAGTGTTGAAAACAATTGTGCTGCTTTATATTTTGTAGAAATAGGGATTTTGTTCAGGATTCTGATGAATATGAAGTATTTATTTATGATAGATTAAAAAATGTCTTTACGGTCACATTTGATAAATTTAATGCATCCTTGCTGAAGAAGTATTAATTTCTTCAAAAAAAAAAAAAAAAAAATTCTTTTTTTAAATGGGTCATGTAGGTCTTGCATTATAAATGACAACAAAATCCTGACCAAAACCATACAAACTAATATATAAATCTGAGCTAATCCCTCTGCCCTTTGTTAGATCAAAACACTGTAGAAAAGCTCACCACCACATCCTGGTCCACTCGGTGCCGATTGGCCCTGACCTCCTCCAGCTGCCTCTGTGCCTCATCCAGAGATCGAGACTTGCTTTCCATTTCCTGTTTGAGCTCTTGTTTCTCCCGCTGGGCACGCTGGATATATTCCTCCTGCTCCTCACGGAGAGACATAAGGGCCTTCATCTTCTCCTCTTCCTCAGCCAGTAGCCTGTAACAATGAGGCAGTGAGCGATCAAGCACAACGCAGGTTAAAATAGTACTGTGCGTTCAAATAATGCTTGTTTTATTAGCATAATAATTTGAGTAAATTAACTTGTCATGTTAATTATAAAATTAACATGAATTTCCATGATCTATGTAATCCAGCAATCTTTATGAATGATCCAGAGAGCATTTTGTGCTTCACTGGATGGAAGAACATCTGATGTGCCACAAATTTGCTGACCTAGAATGACCTAGAACCCAGAATCTTAAAAATGTTTCATTAATTTTACATGTGTCAAATAATTTCTTTGTCTAAAATCTAAAATTCCTAACACTTTACGTTCAGTGTGGTCTCAGATTCAATGTGCACTCAACTGTATATTAATATTTAAACTGTTTTATTGTTTACAATGGCATTTTGCATGCATGTATTGTATAGTGAATAGATTTGTAACAGAAGTAGAGTCGTATTGTATTTACTGAACTAGAAACAGGATTTATTTGTATATACTTATTAGTTTGTATATATTCATTTCTCTGGACAAACATATTTATGTTCAAAGAGCCTCTTCTGTCCATTAATTCCTCTGGTAACTTCCTCTTGATGAATTCCTGCATAGCATCATGCAATGTTACAGGGGAGAGCTTTTAAAACATTATATTTCCTCCATGAATAGTACTAATGAGTATTAGCACCTTGTTTTGTGTGACACAACGCTTGACTGATTACACAGACACTATTGGAAGATAACTGAACTGGATGATGACATCACTGAATCATCAATGAACTGACTTTAGCTGAAAAATGACTCTGTTATTGTTTTCTTGCATCATTGACAAACTATTTTCCTGTTTAACACTGTAAAGCTGCTCTGACATAACCAGTATTGTATAAAGCGCTATACAAATAAAGGTGACTTGACAACCCAGCACATTTAATAGAAAACGCAAAGAGGGAACCAAACAGTCTGCAGATGTGTTTGTGTGTAAAACTGAGCATGGGTGCATTGCTCAACAGTGTTTGTGTGCTGCTGCTCACCGAGCCTGTGCATAGCGGAAGGCCTCTTCGTCCTGCCTGGCTTTGATTTCCTGTTGTAACGCCTCCTCTAGCCGCTGCTGCATGGCCTCCAGTTCTTTAATTCGTGTTCTCTGTCTCTCAGCCTCGGCCTCTTTCAGTGCCATCTCAGCCTGCATGCTCGCCCGCGCCTGCACACACCCAAACAGTGGTCAGATATACCTCTCATTGACTTCTCTTTATCCATCTATTAGAAGTGAGTTCAGAATCATTTAAAATTCCAATTTAGTTTCTGAATTTGAACTGAATTCAAACTGAGGTAGCAAACAGTCTGCAAAATTGCATTTTGTAAATTAAATGTAAGAAAGCAGAAATAAGATGAACTAAAATTCAAAGAAATGTATTTTTAATTGTAAATTGTAATTTTTTTTTTAGAAAAGTTTGTCATAACCAATTTTGAATGATGACATGACAAAACCTTGTTTGAAAGCTTTGAAGAAGTTAAAATTTTGATAGATAGATAGATAAACAAACCATAGATAGATAGATAGATAGATCACCTCTTCCGCCTCTTTGAGCTGGATCTCCAGAGCCTGCTGGAGTTGTTCGTGTTGCTGTCGTCTGCGGAGTTCGTCCTGCTCCAGCAGTGTCTGTGCCTGCCTCTGCGCCTCCTTCAGCAGCTCCAGTTCTGCCATCTTCCGCTCGCGCTCCTCCTGCAGGGCCCGTAAGCGCTGAAGCTCCTGCTCCTTCGCCTCCCTCCTCTTCTCTCTCTGTTCCCGCTGCTCACGCCGTTTCAGCTTTAGGTCCTTATGAAGAGAAGTTTTACCCTCCACATGCAGCCGGATGGCTGTTTGGATAGCTGGTGGAAAAAAAAGGAATACTATAAAGGCAAAATTGTGCACTTTTGGAAAATAAAATTGATTGGTGTCAAAGTGTTCTAAGATGTTTTAGCATTTTGCTATGCAGCTGCTTTAGTGTTGTGGTTTCTAGGTGATTGCTTACTGGCCCAAGTCAAAAAAAAGTCCACCTTCAGGTCTCTCTGATAATTTAGTCTTAAATTTATGGGATTTTTTCACCTGTTTTATCATCCACCAGGTGTAAGTCACCTAGGTAAGTTCAAAAGTTCCCCTGTGCAGTTTCATTTTAGTAAGTCTCACGAAACACCCAGTGAGTAAAAAGTCAACCTTCGAAATGCCACAGGTTTCCACTAACAAAGGCGTTTCCAAACCACAGTGACAAGTGATGAATTTTCTTTTTTACACAACAACAATGGCCAATTGTAAATGTAAAGAAAAGTATCCTGATGAACAAGGTGTTTCTTGAAGAAAGGGAAACTAGACAGGGAAATAAACATCTTCAAACTCTCCTTAAAATTTACACAGCCACATTTGAGGTGAAAAACAGAATACCTGAGGAATTATCAAAAAGCCAAATCTATTGCATGCAGACCTGTAGTCCACTCCTGCCTCTGTTTGGTGTCAGACGCGCTGAGTTCATAGGTCTTGGGGAGCGTTTTCAGACAGAACATACACCTCTTCCCATCTCTGTCAGGAAGTACCTTATGTATAGAGCAGAGAAACATTTCACACATGGCTCTGTCACAGAAGTAGATGTTTGTACTGTGTGTTAATGGACAGCGTGGGGAAACATAACCTACTGGCCATGTCAATAACCAAATAATAATGCTGACAAGTTCCTGTGTCTCATATGTATTCACGAGGTGGCACTGATACTAAGCCACTATAGAATTATACCAGCTTTACTTCTAATAACAACATGCAAACCACAGACACTTGTACCCTACCTCTACACAGCAGTTTCCATCTAGCTGGATGTTGCCTTTACGGTCTTTGCGGTCCTCGCTAGTGAAGTAAATTAAAGTGCTGGGTCTCAGGGTGAACCAACGCTCAGTCCAGTTTCTCCTCAACTGACCTTTCTTCCACAGATATCCCTGGTGTCAAGAAGAAAGGATTTTTAAAAAATAAATCAATCAAATATACCCATAGACACATAATTGCACAGAGAGTATTTGCATTCATCTTCTCCTCTTCCTCAGCCAGTAGCCTGTAACAATGAGGCAGTGAGCGATCAAGCACAACGCAGGTTAAAATAGTACTGTGCGTTCAAATAATGCTTGTTTTATTAGCATAATAATTTGAGTAAATTAACTTGTCATGTTAATTATAAAATTAACATGAATTTCCATGATCTATGTAATCCAGCAATCTTTATGAATGATCCAGAGAGCATTTTGTGCTTCACTGGATGGAAGAACATCTGATGTGCCACAAATTTGCTGACCTAGAATGACCTAGAACCCAGAATCTTAAAAATGTTTCATTAATTTTACATGTGTCAAATAATTTCTTTGTCTAAAATCTAAAATTCCTAACACTTTACGTTCAGTGTGGTCTCAGATTCAATGTGCACTCAACTGTATATTAATATTTAAACTGTTTTATTGTTTACAATGGCATTTTGCATGCATGTATTGTATAGTGAATAGATTTGTAACAGAAGTAGAGTCGTATTGTATTTACTGAACTAGAAACAGGATTTATTTGTATATACTTATTAGTTTGTATATATTCATTTCTCTGGACAAACATATTTATGTTCAAAGAGCCTCTTCTGTCCATTAATTCCTCTGGTAACTTCCTCTTGATGAATTCCTGCATAGCATCATGCAATGTTACAGGGGAGAGCTTTTAAAACATTATATTTCCTCCATGAATAGTACTAATGAGTATTAGCACCTTGTTTTGTGTGACACAACGCTTGACTGATTACACAGACACTATTGGAAGATAACTGAACTGGATGATGACATCACTGAATCATCAATGAACTGACTTTAGCTGAAAAAACGACTCGTTATTGTTTTCTTGCATCATTGACAAACTATTTTCCTGTTTAACACTGTAAAGCTGCTCTGACATAACCAGTATTGTATAAAGCGCTATACAAATAAAGGTGACTTGACAACCCAGCACATTTAATAGAAAACGCAAAGAGGGAACCAAACAGTCTGCAGATGTGTTTGTGTGTAAAACTGAGCATGGGTGCATTGCTCAACAGTGTTTGTGTGCTGCTGCTCACCGAGCCTGTGCATAGCGGAAGGCCTCTTCGTCCTGCCTGGCTTTGATTTCCTGTTGTAACGCCTCCTCTAGCCGCTGCTGCATGGCCTCCAGTTCTTTAATTCGTGTTCTCTGTCTCTCAGCCTCGGCCTCTTTCAGTGCCATCTCAGCCTGCATGCTCGCCCGCGCCTGCACACACCCAAACAGTGGTCAGATATACCTCTCATTGACTTCTCTTTATCCATCTATTAGAAGTGAGTTCAGAATCATTTAAAATTCCAATTTAGTTTCTGAATTTGAACTGAATTCAAACTGAGGTAGCAAACAGTCTGCAAAATTGCATTTTGTAAATTAAATGTAAGAAAGCAGAAATAAGATGAACTAAAATTCAAAGAAATGTATTTTTAATTGTAAATTGTAATTTTTTTTTTAGAAAAGTTTGTCATAACCAATTTTGAATGATGACATGACAAAACCTTGTTTGAAAGCTTTGAAGAAGTTAAAATTTTGATAGATAGATAGATAAACAAACCATAGATAGATAGATAGATAGATCACCTCTTCCGCCTCTTTGAGCTGGATCTCCAGAGCCTGCTGGAGTTGTTCGTGTTGCTGTCGTCTGCGGAGTTCGTCCTGCTCCAGCAGTGTCTGTGCCTGCCTCTGCGCCTCCTTCAGCAGCTCCAGTTCTGCCATCTTCCGCTCGCGCTCCTCCTGCAGGGCCCGTAAGCGCTGAAGCTCCTGCTCCTTCGCCTCCCTCCTCTTCTCTCTCTGTTCCCGCTGCTCACGCCGTTTCAGCTTTAGGTCCTTATGAAGAGAAGTTTTACCCTCCACATGCAGCCGGATGGCTGTTTGGATAGCTGGTGGAAAAAAAAGGAATACTATAAAGGCAAAATTGTGCACTTTTGGAAAATAAAATTGATTGGTGTCAAAGTGTTCTAAGATGTTTTAGCATTTTGCTATGCAGCTGCTTTAGTGTTGTGGTTTCTAGGTGATTGCTTACTGGCCCAAGTCAAAAAAAAGTCCACCTTCAGGTCTCTCTGATAATTTAGTCTTAAATTTATGGGATTTTTTCACCTGTTTTATCATCCACCAGGTGTAAGTCACCTAGGTAAGTTCAAAAGTTCCCCTGTGCAGTTTCATTTTAGTAAGTCTCACGAAACACCCAGTGAGTAAAAAGTCAACCTTCGAAATGTCACAGGTTTCCACTAACAAAGGCGCTTTCAAACCACAGTGACAGTGACGCATTATTAAAAAAAAAAAATACATTTAAAGGTTACATAACAACAATGGCCAACTGTAAAATGTAAAGAAAAGTGGCCTGATGAACAAGGTGTCTCTTGAAGAAAGGGAAACTAGACAGGGAAATAAACATCTTCAAACTCTCCTTAAAATTTACACAGCCACATTTGAGGTGAAAAACAGAATACCTGAGGAATTATCAAAAAGCCAAATCTATTGCATGCAGACCTGTAGTCCACTCCTGCCTCTGTTTGGTGTCAGACGCGCTGAGTTCATAGGTCTTGGGGAGCGTTTTCAGACAGAACATACACCTCTTCCCATCTCTGTCAGGAAGTACCTTATGTATAGAGCAGAGAAACATTTCACACATGGCTCTGTCACAGAAGTAGATGTTTGTACTGTGTGTTAATGGACAGCGTGGGGAAACATAACCTACTGGCCATGTCAATAACCAAATAATAATGCTGACAAGTTCCTGTGTCTCATATGTATTCACGAGGTGGCACTGATACTAAGCCACTATAGAATTATACCAGCTTTACTTCTAATAACAACATGCAAACCACAGACACTTGTACCCTACCTCTACACAGCAGTTTCCATCTAGCTGGATGTTGCCTTTACGGTCTTTGCGGTCCTCGCTAGTGAAGTAAATTAAAGTGCTGGGTCTCAGGGTGAACCAACGCTCAGTCCAGTTTCTCCTCAACTGACCTTTCTTCCACAGATATCCCTGGTGTCAAGAAGCAAGGATTTATTTATTTTTTTATAAATAAATCAAATATACCCTCATAAACATAATTGCACAGAGTATTTACTGAAAGTTGCTGGTATCTCAATATATACACAATGAATCATTATTTAAAGGACAAATGGCCCAGTTTCCTGAGAATGACACTACACAATAACAGATATGATTATTAAAGCCAATATAAAGCCAATACCTCTTTCAACACATCACCAACTATTTCCCGGTACACCTCCTCTATTGCCATACTGATGGTTTCTTTGGCAATGCCCCTTGTTAGTTTCCCAGAATTCATCATCTCCAGAAAGGCCCACACAGTGAAGCCGTTCTGCTGAACAGAATCTTGGGAAATGAAGTCTTCCAGTTCCACACAGTTCAGCTCAACACTCATGGCCATGCATAACTTCTTCAGTAAATATTCAACCTGTGGAAAAAAGCAACAATATTCTCATGTGAGATTGTGTGAAGATAAGAGCAGCCATTTGATGCTGCTGCGCATTTACCAACCAACTTCAAAATATCGTGTTCAAGCAGCACTTGTTTATTTTAACACGGCAACGAATATAATTGCTTTATAGCTATGAAGATTTTATAGCACCAAGATTTATGTTTTTAACCCATTCTTTCTTTCTTCTCTTCTGTGAAACTGTCACATGTTACATTTTACCAACAGTTGCAAAACGGGGCACAGGAAATCAACCAAGCTGCAAGACAAGAAACAGCACAGGGGCATTGAAAAAACAGACACATTCAGCAAAGACACATAAAAGAGAGAAAAAAGACAACATTATTTTAACCATGTAAATACAGTTGCCAAAAATGATATGCAAAAGATTTACAATACTGTAAACAGTTTGTAAAGGCTTGACTGTACTATTTTATAGGTCAGATCAGCTCTGACATCTTCCCAGTGACAGCTACATCACCCTTGTTTCCTGACCAAAGCTATTTAAAGATAGCAAACAACTGCTAGTATGAAGGATGTATGCACGTATGCAAGCGTTGTGCCATTCACAATTAAAAGCAAACAGGGTACTGATGAAAATGACATAGGCCACTAGCAGATTTGGCCCTATGATTATGTCAGAAACAGAAAAACCTGCAGGGCTTTTGATGATAAACAGTTTCGGATGAAGAGGGAAAACAGAAAAAAGCAAAGAGCATATAGACAATGGCGGTCCTGTGGTAAGCAGCAGGTTTACGGGTGTCCGATGTGATTTACACTCACATTCTCAGCATTGTGATAGAGTCAGGAGACAGAAAAAAGGTACAAAGCATATTCTAGTTTTAATAGGAGTAAGATAAAGGCCCTTAAAGTATTTTTAAGCGTATTTATGAGTCGCACTTAATGCGTGAATGTCAATGCATTAAACAAAATTTGAAACTAACTTTTAACCAACTGGTCTCTTTTAAGTAGATGTATGAAGCCAGTTCTCCTCAGAGAACAAATAGGACTTGGTTTGAAATTTGATTAAATAAAATTTATTTATATAAGTGTGGCTTAAATATATAATTATACTATTTAAAACCTTCCAGATAAGGAAAGTTCTAGTACTCATAGCAAAACTGTGTACTGATGGGATTAAGGCTTCTAAAAATGGATCTAAATAACAAATAATGCATGAATCTCACCTCACCAGGGATCATGACCAGAGGATATCTGTCCTCTGAGAGAAATATGAACAGGCACCAGAGCCGGAAGGCGTCTTTTCCAGGTAAAACACTTTTTCCCTCTGGTCTATAGTTCTTCTTGGCAGTAAGAGTCCAGCAGAGCTCATCCACATTTTCTTTGACAAACGTACCTTCCACCACCTTACAGAGAGGAGACAAACACTCGGTGAGAAACTAACTACATGACCAAGAAATGCAAGAATGTTAATGATAAATGTTAGAACAAAATGTTAATGTTGATAAGAACAATGCTTTTTTTCTTTATTTTTTTTAATTATTTTCCAAAAAACACATTGTCTTACACAGGATGATATATAAAGCCTTTGTCTCAAGACTAAACACATACTAAGGTGTAAGAGAATGTAGCGAGGCTGTGTACCTTGTCCAGGATGTATTTGTTGAGGTAGGGCATGTATCCCTGGCTGGACACTGGACCGTCGTCATCATCTCTGAAGTGTTCCTCGAGAGCCGCTGGGTCGTGTGGGATACACAGAACTGTGTAAAGATTATGAGACAAGACCTGCAGAGCAATAGCACAGATCTTAAACGACATCATATGCCAATGCTCATATATACACACAAACTGTTACATGGGAATTTATTGATTCTGTTAGTATTCCATTAAGGAATTGGTCACCCAAAAATGAAAATTTGCAGAAAATTTACTCACCCTCAGGCCATCCAAGATATAGATGAGTTTCTTTCTTCATCTGAACATATTTGGAGAAATTTAGCATTATATCATTTGCTCACCAATGGATCCTCTGCAGTGAATGGGTGCCGTCAGAATGAGAGCCCAAACAGCTCATAAAAACCATCACAATAATCCACAAGTAATCCACACAACTCCAGTCCATCAATTCGTGTCTTGAGAAGTGAAAAGTTGCATGTTTGTAAGAAACAAACCTATCATTAAGGCGTTTAACTTTAAACTGTCGCTTCTGGCCAAAATACGAGTCCATTATCCATAATAACGCTTCCTCTAGAGAAAAAGTCCTGACATCAAAATCCACTGACATATTTGTTTAGAACTGTTTTGGTCTGTCTTTGCTTGTAAACAGAGCTTGGTCTGTGCATATTTATCTCGATTGAGACGTGACAACTTTTTCACTAGAGTAAACAATATTATGGATAAAGCACTATTTTAGCTGCATTTTAGCTGGGAGCAATGCTTTGAAGTTAAAAACTTCTTACTAATGAATATGTTTCTTACAAACACTTTTTTTACAAACATTTTTTACTACAAAAGACATTAATTGATGGACTGGAGTCATGTGGATGACTTATGGATTAAGATATTTTTAACAGCTATTTGGACTCTCATTCTGACGGCACCCATTCACTGCAGAAGATCCATTAGTAAGCAAGTGATGTAATACTAAATTTCTCCAAATCTGTTCTGACGAAGAAACAAACTAATCTAGGATGGCCTGTGTTTGAGTACATTTTCAGCAAATTTTAATTTTTGGGTGGACTATTCCTTTAAGTTTTCCACCATTTTGCTGTTCAGGATATGCTTGAAATGAGATTTTCAAAAGCATAAATATTTAATGCATCTTTACAACCAAGGTTTGAAATTAACACCCGCCAAATGTGGGTAAAAATCAGCTGTGGCGGGTAACGCTGTCAAATCACTAGCCAATTTGGGGTATTACTTTTCGTAAGTTATGTTCACTCATTAATTTCTTGGGGAAGTTGCATGTATGCAAGCCAAATCTGCGCAGGTTTAGCGCAAATACTGAATTCGTGAGACATCATGACATTATCGAGTATATTGCAAAAACCAAACAAAACACCTACAGAGGCACGCATACGCGACGAGATGAAGTCTGGTTAGACCAACACACAGGCTTTAGTGCGCGTGCGCATTTAGAGTGCGTTATTTCACTGCATGATTCAGTCTATTAATATGCATTAAGAATGATCACATAATTCAAGATAAGGGGGCAGAAAATGTATATATTATATCCATTCATATAGTTAACCAATTTCACACGAAGAGTGCCATTTTTTCTTTAAAAAATCAGCATGGTTACAAATGTGATATTTATTTTATACAACAGTTCAATAAACAATAAGTTAATATCAAGAGACTTACGTTCTAGACAACATATTGGCTGTTTTTGCGCTATTTTACCAACAAAAAACATTCCAAACACAGCCACAGTACTGTTTTGCGTCTCTGAGCAACATGAAGT